GAAGTGATTCATCTTGTTAAAAGATTTACTTTTAGCAAAACCCTACCTTTGATAAAACCCATCTGTTGCTATGTACTGAGTGCTTTCCTGAAAACTGTCCTAAGGTTGCTGGGTCAAGTAGCCTGTATAATTTTTTTCCAGTCTTTGTCTTATTTGAATACAGCAATGTGCAGATTCTTGCTACTAAACCTGCATTTTCATGTGCCAATTATTTCAGCATCCTCAGATGGAGATTATCCAGAGCCCCTGGGTTTCAGTTCCTCTATTGCTGGAAATTTTATCTTTAAGATGGAGCTTTACCTCCTCAATTCCTTTTACCACTCTTAAACTCTTTCCTTCCTAAACAATTTATAACTAGCAATTTTTACATTCCAGTCATGTGAATAACCCACCAGGTTTCAGTCATGTCAATTATATTTCTCATAATCCAGCAAGAATTCCCAATTCCTCTTGCTTTTAATTATATACTCAGAAGGTGCTTCTCCCTGGTCCCTCCCTCTGGACACCTGCCTACGGTGAATCACATATGCTTATTATTACACTGTGGCAGGGGAGAAGGTTGATGCAGTGCTGCTCCGGATCTGTGAAAGTGTATGGCCAGTTCATGTCTTTGATATTTCTCATAATCCAGCAAGAATTCCCAATTCCTCTTGCTTTTAATTATATACTCAGAAGGTGCTTCTCCCTGGTCCCTCCCTCTGGACACCTGCCTACGGTGAATCACATATGCTTATTATTACACTGTGGCAGGGGAGAAGGTTGATGCAGTGCTGCTCCGGATCTGTGAAAGTGTATGGCCAGTTCATGTCTTTGTATGTTACAGACTCATTCCCTTCTGCAGGATACACTTCTCTTGTTCTTTGACTCCTTCTCAAATGTGCATTTAATATCCGTATTTATGGCCCATTTTGATGCATCCTTACATACCATGTAAGTTCCACTCTACCATTTACTCCTTAAAGAGAGCTAAGGAATATGTGGTACAGAGCATACAAAGAGCTACAGACCCCCTGCCCTCAAAATGTAATTCCAGGAATATAAAACAAGCCTATGCATACCCACTCCTGATCTCCCTGGCTTCTACAGAGAGTGGTGAGCAGCATGGAAAGGCTTGGTTTTTACTTTATGGGTCAGTACTCTTAAAAGGCACCTAGGCAGCTGCTTTTGCTTATGAATGTGGATGTTATTACTGAGATTGCTTGTTCATTAGCAACAAAACAAGGTCCAATTTAATGTTTTTTTCTATTAAAATCAAAGCAAACACACTATTGAGTAAAATCAGCTGACTTCTTATTGCTTCACAGCTCTCATCCTCTTCTGTCTGTTGGAATAAGTTATGCCACCTTATCTACTTCATGTGTTAATGTTTTCATGGCATGTATGTTCTTGACTTGTGGAATCTACCTGCTAGTTTACCACTGCTGCTATTAGCACAGCACTTGTCTGGTATCTTGTGAGGTGTCCAGTTCTGACACAAGCAGGTGTGAAATAAGATATGCACTCAAAGTCATACTGAAAAAGAAATGAAAGGATAGAGAGCTTGTCTCTGAGAAGCCTGGCCATAGCCAAGGAATGCATGGCCCAGGAGAAGGCACCAAGCACCCTGGGCAGCGTGCGGTTGCAGAACAGGACTCATGACCACCATGATCTGCAGAGCTCATATGGTGTGTATCTCTTCTTCTGGAGACTAGGTGCATTGCTCTTACAGAAATCACTTCCACCCATGTGGGATCCAAAGCATTGAACCTACTTTGACAGGAAGAGCCTTCATCCTCCTTTTAGTAGTCTGGGACTCAGCATACTTTTGAGTCAGAAATTGTACTAAATAATTACAGGACTCACCCACCAATGCAATATATATGCTCATGTCCTTCTGTTCCCAGAGGGGATTCACAATCGTATTTCTCAGGTACTAAATGCTTTTCAGATTCTTCAGCTGTCCTAGACTCTAGATTTGCAAATTATTTCAGAAATAATCACAGCACTCAATCTCTGTTAGAGCTGTCAGTGAAAACTAGAAACCTGCAACAAGACGAAGGCCTGCTTCGCTAGTCTGTGCAGAGTGTATGGCATGCTTTTTGCACCTCTGCCTCTGGAATCTAAATGAACATTTCAGATAAGCAGTGAGAAGACACTCAAAAATTGATTTTGATTGCAGCCTAAGTGTCGTTTTAAGGTGTGACTGAGTCACAGCCCTTCCAGCCAACTGGAAGAACTACAATCCTATCCTTCCTTGCAGTATCAGTCTTCTGGGAACTTGTCCTGTTGTGTCTGCACTACAAGATCTGCTGCGTTTCAGCTGCACCAGTGCAGAGAGCAGGAAGTTTTGATAGTGTCATGATTGTAAGGAGAGATAAATCAAAAGCCTGGTGGCTAGATGAAGAATGTGGCTCACAGCTGGGAATCTTAGGAGTCTCTGGAGAGTTTTGACAGCATCACAACCACAGAGAGTGTTACTGGCATTCATGTGTCGCTGCTGGGACTCATGTTGCTTAGCTTCAGACATCAGGAGCTGTAGGGATGGTGCTGACCATGGGCTGTGGCCGTATGTTCTGCTGACAGAGGTGTGAGGCTATGGAGTGGCTACTGAAAGGACTTGGCCTGGAGGAAGGCTGTTGTTGCAGTCATTTTCAGTATGCTATTGGTAAAGCTTTAAGGAAAGTGTTATTGTAAGTATGGAGTGCATTCGAGGCCAGGATTTTGACTAATTTAATACACTAATGTCTGTGTGCTTAGTGCTATTTTCTGGTTGTTCTCCTGGCATCCTAGGGTGTTTATTAACAACACGGTGACTGTATGACTTGTAATACCTACAGAACTGTAGTCAGTAAGTGTGCTGTGGACAGTGTGATGAGCCTATGGGATGGATTACTCACAGATATATTGAGTGTTGTGGGTGTATATATAAGCACGATCACTGTGCTATTGGATTGGGGCTGGCTGGTGCCTCACTGCCCTGGAGCTCAGATAAAATAATCACCAGTCAGGCTGCAAAAGGTCATGACAGTGTCCTGACAGTCTGGTGTTACAAACCCGTAAGTCTAAATGAAGTCCTTTCATGTTTTGTTTTGGGGTTTTTTCTATGTTGATGCTCTTAGTGACAAATTCAGATCTGTGTTCATTACACAGTTCCTGTCCTTACCAGAGAACTACAGTAAACGCTGAACGATGCAGCTGTCTTTCTAAGCCAATATATCCCTGTACCTGGCTGGATTCTTTCTAGAGGTTGGTCACTCCTGGTCTGCTAACTGAAGAGTACTTTTCACCAGGTTAGTGTTTCAAATAAGAGGAAACACCCATGTGTCTGCTATGGTGGTGCGGGGAGGGAGAAACAGCCCTCTCCTGCTTTCGCCATGACTTTCTAAAGCTGGCTTCCAACTATCTCCTGAAATCACCCACTACAGCACAGCTTTGTTTACCCAGTATAGAATACATCACTGTATTTCTCTTCTCCCACAGATAACTCAGTTTTCTGAGTGGGCTAGAGTCACACAGTTACGAGTTATCTCACACATACATCTTGGCTTGGAAAGCCTTCAATAACTGTCAGAAATTTGAGCATGTTTGATCATCCCAATCCCAGCTAAGACATTCAAAAAGTCAGAGTCTTGAGCTGCTCACTCAGGCTGCTGTGGCCTAATTTTATTTCAAAATCAGTAAGACAAAACATCTTTTTTCTATACTTTTTTTTTTTTCTAATGTCAAGAGGGTTACTTTGCTGCACTCATTTCAGTGTGGAGCTTGGACAGTCCTGAGGCTGGAGTTCACAAACTTTCCTTTTCATACATTAAGTTGAGTTTTAACAACCAACTAATTCTTGAAGCACTATCATCAAAAATAGCAGTGAGTACACACAGCACCATGGGATGAAATGGACTGTGAGCTGCTCCTCAAGTTTGCCCCACTTTATAGTACATCCTTACAGAGCAGTTTTACTAAGATCTCATAAACTTCCCATTACCAGAGAGGTTGTGTCCCCAGAGACACAACACGTCAGATGATTAACTGTTCCTCCCTCCCAACACTAGTGAAGGACCAACTATCCAGCCTACTCCTTGGGCAATGGCACGACAGAATGGAAACAGCCCAGCAAGGAGGAACCAATATCCATGAGCCATCATCATCTCATACTGTGTCACATTTGTAAACTTTATTCTCCAGTCACATAATCTAGAAAAAAGCTTTTTAAAAAAAGGAGTTTGGATGTTAGCTCTACTAGACAGCTCTGGGAGTAGGGACTGTCAGTTTGCATCTGTTGAGACTTAAATCAGTCCATGGCTGCTACCTTCCATCTACCCTCCAGTGTTTTATTTCTTGGTAAGTGCCAGGGTACAGCAGAGGAAATGAATGTACTGATAAGCTGGAGAGATGTCTTCTCCTGTGATTCTCGGCAAGTAAATGGCTGAGCAGGAAAGAGAAGTGAGCTTTCTTGTGCCCAGTTGTGCCTTTTAACTGCCATTTCTCTACTCTACTTCAATAAACATACAACCCAGCCACCAGGAAAGGTTTGTGGGTGGTCACTTACTTAAGGGATGCCAGAAAAGAGGAAGTGTATGCTACAGCCTGATAAAAACTGTGACCTTTGTGCTTTCCCCCTCATTCAGACCACTGCTCTGGGCATTATTTTGGGGGCAATTACAATTAGATGTCAGAACCTCCTTAGCAACTACCAGCCACTGTCTTTTGTGCGCTCCATGGAGCAGCTCCCAGAAGGGAAGCACTGACCAGTCTCTGGCTGCAGTGCCCATGAGGGTAGCACTGCTTATCAGAGGTTCAGCTGTGTTTCGAGTACAGACCCTGCATCAGCCAGCAGGTAAACAAGCAAATCCTTGCTCTTGCTGGAAACAGGTTGCTTTTCAACAAAGAACTGTTAAAATTCTGCCTCTCTCTGCAGGGCAAATCTGCTTTAAGATACAGCACAGAACAGCTTGCCTGTGTGTTTATCACACTGAGCCAAACACAAAGCAACACAAGCTGGAAGGAAGTTGTCTCATACTTACCAGCAGCATTGATATTTTCCTCACAGGAGTACCAGATCCCAGTGTGGAAATACCTGAAAAGGAAGCGGTCATCTCCCGTCTCCCAGCTGTAATGAACCACATTCTTGTTTGTCTCATTTGCAGTCTCATTCCCACTGTAGTTGAGGCAGTTTGTCTTCTTCTCTTTCCCACAGCTCGGCTTGGGGACCCTCTGTGTGCCCTCACACCAGTGGGTCGTAATAAAAGCTGTTGTAGAGAAGAGGAGAGCCATCAGATTCAGACTCACTGCTAGCAGGGCTCTGCATCTTCGATTTGTCTTCATGGTAAATCCGCCCTCCCTCCCCCTCCTGCTGAGAGAAGAAGTCAAAGGGTTTTGTTTTATTTGGGAGGGGGGGGAGGCAGTTCAAAGCCTCTCAAGATTCAGAATCCAGTTTTCCAGGCATCAAAACTCTCAGCTTCTTCCAATCTGTTGTTGTAGCAGTGAAGGAAATGCTGCAGCCAGATTCCCATTCTTCTCTTCACTTGAAATCCTGCCTTTGTACGTTAAAGGAGCAGCTGCAGGCGCGGGAGTGCGGCCGTCCTCTTGTAGTCAGTGTGCTTCAGTGCGCTGGCAGGATCAGAGAGGGTCTGTCTCACAAAGAGCACCAAGAGCAAGTGAACATCTGCTCGGGTACCACACATGATCCCAAGGGGCTCTGCAGCCTCCTCCGCTGGGAGACACCTGCAGGCTGCGGGACTCGCTGTCCTCTGCTCCCCTAGGATGAAGCAGGAGAAACTCGGCGGGAGGCAGGCAGCAGGGACAGCTGCTGCCGGCTG